CCCCTGAGAAGGCCTACTCCACTATTGAGCAGTTCTGATGGTTAGAAAAGTCCTTCTCCTGTCAGCCTGACATCTTCCTGGTAACTTCTGCCCAGTGACTCTTAGTTCTGCCCTCTGGGGCTTTAGAGGAAAAGGTAATACAAAAACAAAAAAACGAGAACAAAAGAAACTTCTGCTTCCTCTTCCACAAAGCAACCTTTTAGATTTTCCAAGATAGTGCAATCCATTTCCTCTGCCTTTGCCATCTTCCAGGATGAGGTGTTGGGGAAGCATTATTTTAACGAGTAGCAGTCAACTTAGACTTTGATTCAGTGTATTTTGAAGGCCTTTTATGTGCTTGTCACAGCGCTAGGTGCCATATTCCTCTGGTCCCCTCAGAGGTGTAACCTGCTTGTCTTGTCCCTCTCTCTCCTTCCTAATCCCCTATCTCCTGGGGGAAGGTGGGGACCCATCCTACCCAGGATGTTCTGTTTTGGAGATAATGGTAAAGGTTAGTACCCCCTGATAAATCTCCTGAGCAAGTGTGAGTGAGGGCTGATTTTCTGATTGGCTACACTTCCCCGATGAAGCCAATGAGATGAATTAAGGAATAAAAGAATCCTGCATTGATAGGAGCCACCCAGGGCCATGACTTGGCATTGTAGATGCTCTGTGGACAGAGGATTTTATTCTTACTTCTTTCCCCCCTCTCCCTTCCTGGTGTCTCCACCCAGAACGCTGTCTACTGTTCTTCCCACCCACGAGGCAGCATGGTGCAACAAAGAGCCAGGCAGGTCTGGGTTTAAATGCTGAAGCGGCCACTAAGAAGCTCTTGAGAACCTGGGCAAGTTACTTGAGCTCTTTGAGCCATTGTTTTCCCATCTCTAGAATCACCACCTCCACAGTGTAGAATTAAGTAAGAAAATACTTGGTTAAGCGCCTGGCACAGTCCTTGCTACACAGAAAATGCACAAACACTAACTTCCTGCTTCCCCTGACACTACCATTTTTGAGGAATTTAAAGGCAAAATGCTCTGTGGCTTCCCTGGGGAAAATGAGCTGAATGTGGGTATAATAAATAGCCAAACTAGACTTGGTTGGGTATTTGGGAACAAACTGTCAGTTTCCTGTGAGTTCCTGGTGAGATCAAAGCTGTTAAGAGAGTTCTCAAGTAGGAGAGGCTGAGAAGGTGGTAAATGGCAGTAAGCGACCACTCTGGCTACTGTTGACTCCCACACGCATTCTGGGCGGCTGCACACTGCCTGCTGCCCACGGCCGTTAGACTGGCAGGCAGTGACCCTTCAACTGGAATGCCTTTCTCGGGGACCCCTCTTGATCCCTAAACTGTTGAGCTGGCTCTTTTGGCTGTGTTTTCTGCATACTCACCTCTCCTGCTCCCTGCTTTCCTCCACTCTAGGGTCTTAGTCAGCCACACTCAGCATCCAAGAAAAAATAATTTCTGGGCTGATAACTTTCCAACAGTCACATCCACACCCTGTTGACAGGCCAAGAAACCTGCCCACAAACTTGAATTGCATAAGTGAGCTGTGTTTTGCAGCAGTTGATCAGAGTTAAGAACCACGAAAATTACTGCTGAATCCTGTAATCCTCCCAATGAAAGGAGGAAGGGGAGAACAGAATTGTGGGGTTGGAGGCCCCGTGGGGGAGCCCAGCCCTGTCTTTCAGCAGATGTATCAGTGCTTTCCATGGGCTAGGGGTTGGGGAACCCCTGAGAGGATGCTTACAGACCGAAGACATAGACAGGGGCAGAAGTGACCCAGCCCTGGTGGGCAGAGGCTTCCAGGAGGAAACAGCATTCCAGGTGGACTGAGAAGGGCAAGCAGGGTTCAGGAATTACTCTTACTTCAGCCAGAAAATCCTGTGAAGCAGGTTCAAAGTTTAACTGCCCCCAAAACAAGAGAATAACGCAAAGAAAGTGGACATTTTCCCATCAGCCCCAACTGAATATTTTAAATTAAGAGACCTTCCTTGTCTTGGAACTGGACAGCAGAAAGCATCGACACTCCTGTGCATTTTTAATAGTAACTGTGTTATTCTTAAATAGTAATTAACCTTCCTATCTGTGGAATGGGTCAAACAGTGGGATTACTCAAAGAATTTAGTGTCCCATTTCTGTCTTGTTTTGGCAGGTCTCTCTGTCCTTTCTGGTCATTGAACTAGGGACTAGCTTCAGGCTAAAATCCCATCACTAAGCAGATTTTTAAGTTAAGTGGTTTGCACTTTGTGGGCTTAGTTAGTGCAAGGTCTGACCACCCCACTGCTTGGCTTGGCTCCAGTTCCATGGTGGTTTGGCAGAGCTGGAGAAAGTGTGGGGGCCATGCCGATCCCCAGCCCCCATCCTACAAGGCATCCTCCTTTGCTCCTGGAGCCAAGCTCCCAGCTCTCGCACTTGGGTGTGTATTTTCACACGTAGTCACACAGTAGTTGCACTGGTGTGCCTGTTTTTACACTCCTTTCCTGCTGTGGGAAACCCTGTCTGAAATTCTAGATTGTGGATTCTGTCCTCTGCACCTAACTGAGTGTTAAATAGTTTCTGAGTGAGTGTTCAGAGAGCTGCAAGTTACTGTAATTAGCAGAAAACTGTGTTTTCATCTCTTGGGGACTGACAGAGAAAGAATCCTCCAGTGAGCAGATCTCCAGCTCAAGAGGGTGGGAACTGAGCCACCACAGTAAACAGCTGACATAACAGAAGCTGCAGTGATCCCCCATTAAAGATCTTTCAGCCGATAGGGGCTCCTGGCATAATTGACTTTCCAGCAGGAATTAGTGGCTCAAATGAAATCACTGGGCATTAGGGCAGCCTACTGCATCCTTTGAAAGGGGGACTGTAACTGTCTGGTTTTGCTGACCTGACAGGCATAATTCATCTTGATTGTTCATTGTCCTAGTTGCCACCAGATGACACCCGATTTCTTGTTGACTGTAATTACAATGTGGGGTGAGTTTTAGCCTTTTTTTAAAAATAGTGTTCCACCCCCTTGGTTATTGGCCTCCCTGAGCTGAAGGAGCTGTAGGACGATTCCTGCAGCATCTGCCTGGGGAGATAATGAGTTCACAGTCAGATAGCATTTACTGAGCACTTCCTTCTACAAGTCTTTTACTAGATAAGCAGGGAAACATTTAGTGTAGCCTGTTTCATTTCAGCTGACAGAGTGTCCCTTCTCGGTTATGGTTACCTCCCTGTGTGCTAGATTGCTGCTGTCAGAACGTGGGTCTACATCTCAGAGCCCACTTCGAGTAAGTGAAGCAAAGGATGGCCTCCAAAGAAATGTAACTGATAAGACCTGCTGCTTTCAGGCAAGCTTTATTAAAGGGAGAAGAGGGAGAGAATGGAATTAGGCTTTCACTTTATTGGCATGGTTTCACAATGAGATCCCTGTGCAGTCCAAAGAATGTCCTCCCAGGGAACCTCTGCTGCTCATCCCCCGATGCCCCCCAACCTGTTAAACACCCAAGAGAGGAGGGGGGGAGGAAGGGAGAGAGAGGGGGGGGAAGGGAGGGAGAGAGAGAGAGAGAGAGAGAGAGGGAGGGAGAGAGAGAGAGAGGGAGGGAGGGAGGGAGGAAGGGAGAGGGAGAGAGAGAACCTGTGGTCCTGGGGGAGAAATGAGAGTGTGACGGGCTCAGTGCCTCCAATCCCATCCACTGGGTCCTCCAGTGACCAGTGGGACAGGGGTGGACAGCAGACTTTTTTATGACATTTTATACACTCCAGTAGCCGAGGGCCTTTTTTACTCTCCTGTATAGTGTAGGTGTTTGTATTTTTTTTTTGAAGAAGTGCTCATTTGGTTCAAATAGCCAGTTAATGCCTTTTAACAGTAATTGTAGTTCATCAAGCATTCATTGGGGCCTAGTAAGTGTTAGGCAGTGTGCTCTGTGCTAGAGGTACAAAGATGAATAAGACACCTTTGCTCTCAAGGAGCTATAGTACAGATAATTCCAAAATAATGTGTTAAATTCTAAGCTCAAAATGTACAGAGATGGCTTCCAGAGTACTTAGCGCAGCCAGGGTGACGAGGACGCTGCCCATGCAAGACGATGCCTGATTGGAGGAATACCGTATTTCCCCATGTATAAGACGCACCGTTTTCCGAAAATTTTGGGGTCTAAAAACTGGGTGCGTCTTATACAGCAGTTGTGTGAGCGGGGGTGGGGGGGGGAACAAACACGAAAAAAGCGGGAAATGCAAGTTTAAAAAAATAATAATAAAATCTACAACCACTGTATAAGACGCACCCAGTTTTTAGACCCCAAATTTTTTGTAAAAGGTACGTCTTATACATGGGGAAATATGTGTGACCCAGCTGAATAAAGGTAGGAAGTACATTTCAAGGCATATTTATATTTACCATTTCCTCCCTTCATTTGCATGGTGTTGGTTTAACCTAGTCAATCAAATTAGAATTAGGTTTCATTATTGCTCTAATGAAAATGAACTTCAACCTAGGGGCAGAGCCTCTGTACCTTCCCTCATATCACTGGGGAGTTCTGATCATTAGACCTGGGGCTTCTGGTGGTGAGTCTGGGCTGAGACCACACCTTCCAGGTCTGCGTCCTGCTCCCTTACCCCCCACTTAGAGTGTCATATGGAAAGCCAGGCTAGCTGTCTTCACAACATACCATATACAAACACGTACCATACGGGACCTGCAGACTACGATAGTACATCTCAGAGTGGTGGCTTCTGGAAGGTCAGCTGGGGACAGCAGGTTCTCAGGACCGGGCCTTTGTGTCCTTCTCTTTCAGGATTATCAGGTATAAGTAACGCCCACCCTCCTCCAAAACTGGAGATGATTCTTCCACCTGCCCCCCTCATTTTGGAACCATAAACAGAAAAGAACAAGCTCTCCCTATAAGCGGGGTGGAGATAGAGACCTGAGCAGTCTTTTGCAGTGTGAGCGGCAGCACAGTTGCTAAGGGCCTTCACCTTCTCTGAATGATTGCCTTGCTTTCTCGGATTTGCTTCCCACTCCCTCTGAACTCTGTGCTTTGTTCCCCTTTAGAATGGTGGTGTGGCCTGGAGTGATGATGCGGATGGAGGCCGGGGAAGAGAGATCTCTCGAGATTTTGCCAAGGTCTGTAATGCTTCCTTTGTGATAACGAATGGGCATTTCTACGGTGGGTCGTTTTGTCTGGTCCCCGAGGAACAGGAGTGGCCTATGAGGCACATCTGTAGTCACTGAGATGCTTGTATGTCTCCGGTGTGAGACTTCCTGCATAAGACAGAATTTTTCATTGTGTTTTTTTCCGGGGGGATCTGGATTGCAGCTATATGAACTGGACAGTGATCCGGAAAGGAAGGAGTTCCTGGATGACCTCTTCATCTTTATGCAGAAGAGGGGTGAGTGCACACTGATGAGTCCACTCATCATTTCAAGTCTGTGAATATTTATTGAGTGCCTACTGTGTGCAAGTCACACTTAGGCATAACTCTACCCCCACAGAGTGCCAGCGTCTTAGCCCAAGATGATAAGAGGCATTGACTGATTGGTTCCGAACTTCTTAGCTGAACCATTGATGACCAGACTGAAGAGGGCAGAGAATGAATGGAATGACCATCCAAATTTGGTCCTGCCTTATTTGTGTAACTCTTCTGATCAACTGGTCTCTGGAATCATTTCAAATTCAAATATACTTTTTTCTTAGCCACGTAGCTTCCCCTGGACATCACTTAAATTAGTATGTGGGGCTTCCTGTTGATGGGTCTAGCCTTACAGAGACTAAGAAAGGCCCATGAAAGAATACAGATCTCTCAGGATTTGGTGGGAGGGTCTGAAATGACCCATAAAAGGAAAGGCTAACTCTTTTTCTTACCCATTGCCTCTTTGGTGTTCGCATCCACTGGCTTGGTTGGGGGCATTCCTGCTGTATAACTGTACGGTACATGGGTATCTGCTTTATAATGCACCTTCTGCCTTCTGTCCCTCTCTCCCTCTCACTCCCCTTTACCCACCCCCAACCATCTCCACTTTGGACCATGGTGTGACTGGGTCTTGAGTCCAGTGAATCAACTTCCTGACTTTATAGCCCGTCATAGCAGCTGGGTCAGCTAGGTCAGCTCTCAGGAAACACAGCCAGAAATCCTGCCTCTCTAGGAGAAGGTCCTCAGCAACCTGTGTAGCTCCACCTTCATCACTGTCAGGCAAAGCCACAGGAGAGAGTGGCTCCCACCAGCCTCCTCTTCAGGACCCTGCTTACATCTGATCATGCATGCCTTGGTTTCTGTGTCAGTTCCTTCACGGAGAGCTGGCAGTGAGACACTCCTCTTATCCTAGGCTGACATATCCTATAATGGCAGCCCCAGCCGCTAAATATTCTGAGTGAGCTGCTCTCCCTCCCTCGCTCCCTCTCCCACTCCCCCACCACCCTCATCCCTCCATCTCTCCCCCTCCTTTCCCTTCCAAAGGGTATTGCTTTCCTAGTAGTATGCCTTTTACTCCCTCCTTGCTCACCAAGGCAATCGAAAGTTTTGAGGCTCAGTGTCCCCCCATCTCCAAGCATATGAAAGCAGTCTAAGCAGCCCTAATTAGTTTACTCTTTCACCTGTTATCTGGAGCTGCATGTGTCAGTGAAAAACAAGAATATAATCCCAGAAGATAATGTGACTAGCAGCAATGAAACACCCTCGTTGCCCTGAGAGAGAGAAATCCACTTAATACTTTGGTCTCCCCTTCCAATTACCTTTTAATTATTTACAAGCTCCACAGGCCCAGCTGGTGCAAGCCCAGGAGCTGATCTCTCAGAGGGGCTGCCATAGCAATATAGATTTTAATCAGCGGTACAGCTCCACTGCTTTATTTTCTACTTTATCGGTTTTCTCCCTTCCCAGAAGGATTTTTAAAGGAAAGTGGAAATTGTATCAGCCTAGCCAAGAGTGAAGATCCATGATTGTTTGTTCAGGGCTCTTGTTTGTTTGTGCAGGAGCTCTTGGAGTAGGAGCTCCTTGCAGACAGCCACAGTCATTTCTTTGCATCCCCAGTGCTAGCATAGGCCCAGACAGGGAGGTGCTCAGGCTGTGTTTGCTACATGAGCAGGGAGGCGGCGCTGCCCTCATCAGGCAGTAGTTGGAGGCCAGCAGTAGAGAGCAGTGTGTGCCCAGTCTCCTGCTGCTCCACAGCAGTTGGGGACATCCAGACTGCCATCTAGTTATTTCTGGGTGAACCCAAAGCAGGAGCAAGTGACTCTCTGACTGTGTCAACTTATGGTTATTCGGGCCCTGAGTAAGCCCTCTCCCTGTCTTCAGCACTTAGGTCAGGCATTTCACTATGTGCTGGCATCACCAGCAGAAGGGAGACACAGTTGAGTCAGTGTTGCTACTTGTTAGTTACTCTAATACAAGGTTTCTCAGCCTTAACATACTGACTTTGGGGACTGGATAATCCTCTGTTGTAGGGGCACCCCACACCCCCACTCTACCCTACCCCCCACCCCCGCCACAGCCGTGATAACCAAAAATGTCTCCAGATACTGTAAATGTCCCTAGGGGACAGAATTGCCCCTCTCCTGCTCCCCTGTAGAGAACCACTACTGTAGAAGGATGGGAAAGACGGTGAAGATCTAAAATTTCCTCTGCAGAAAAACTCTTTATGGAAACTATCCTACCCCCACTCAGGCAGCAGTACCTGAGGGCAGCGAGGCCTGTCTCAGACCATATTGTGAGCGCCCCCTCTGTGGCTGAGTGCCAAAGGTGAGGGTGCGGAGCCCCTGTCCTGGGCTGGAGTGCGGGGCAGGCCTCAGAGAGCAGCTGCAGCTCCAGTGTCAGGGTCACAGAAGTTGAGGATGCCACTCAGGTGGCGGCAGAAGCCAGAAGCAGGGGTGTGACTGGCCCGGGCACAGCTGAGAAAAGCCTTGCCTGTGTTCTGCATGAGTCAGCTGTCACCAGACTGTGAAGAGCCATGTGTGGCCAAGAAGCTGGCACCCTGTCTGTGGCCAGAGCGGAGCTATGGATGTTATAGCATGGGGAATGTCGCCAGAGCCGGGCCTTCAGGACACTTGCTGTGGCAAGCAGTGTGTAGTTGGGCTGGAGAGGGGAGACTGAGGCAGGGGGATAGAGTGGAGGTTATTCTCTTAAGTTCACAGTGATCTCCCTGGCAGATCTGAATTAGAGTGGGTGGTTCAAGAGGGTGGGAGCAGATTGTACTTTTAATCCTGGGAAGCTTGCTGTCTTTGCTTTTCACAGAATGGTGAGACCAAGGGCCCCTAGATATTTGTGACTTATTTGTCACTCCCAAATTGGAGTGTCTGAGGCTCTTAGGAGCCAGATCTTGTTAGCTAGGTCCAAGGAAGAGCCTCACAGACCTTGGCAGCAGCTCATCTGGCAGAGCTAACAGGAACGATGAGCAGTAGACTTCCCAGGAGCCGTGAAAGCAGCCTGAGTTTGAAAGGCTTGGGACACCCACCTGGACAACGGGTGGGGCCGGGCAGCTTTGACACAGCAGGCTACCCACAGAGGAAGTGGACAGGGCTCCCAGGAGGCAGCACACAGCAGGCTGCCCAGGTTACTGCAGCTGCAGGTGATAAAACGGCCATCCAGTGGGAGAAGGGCCAGGCTCTAGCTGCTGCTTTGTGCTGCCTCTTTTGCTTGTTAACACGTTTGGGTGAATTGACTGCAACAGATGGGCCTTTCAGCTCCCGGCACCTTGGTTTCTAGGCCAGATGGGGGTGACTTATACCCTGGTGACCCCTCCCCCACCAGCAGAGCAACCTGCCCTAGAAGGAGCCTGAGAAGAGGCCCCGCAGTGCCCAGTCAGGCTCACTGTCTCCCTCCTGACCCAGGAACGGCCCTGTGGAGAGGCAAGTAGCGAGGGGAGGAGCTCTCCACTGATAAGTGTAAAGCCAGGGATCCCACCCCACCCTTCTCCATGATCTTGAGCAAATCCTTCCCTTTCTGGGGGCCACGGGTGGTTTATCTCTAAAAGGAGATGGTTCAGTTAGAGGCAGTCTGGAAGTTTCTTCCAAGTTCTGTGTTCTGTGTGCAAGATTGAGAGACCAACAGGTAAGAGCCACACTCCGTGACCAAAAAAAGAAAAGCTTTTTTTTTAAGCAATTTTCTATCAAAATAGTTGTGTAAAACCAAACCAGGGACCCCAAGACCATGTGTAGTGAGTCTCCCCTTTCCTTGCTGAATAATGTGTTTCCACTTTTACTGACTAAAGCCAAATTGAATTAAACAAGTTGCCTTGGTTTGTGTTCCCCCAAATGTTTCTCTCAAATGATTGTTTAGATTCAGAACTCTGGCACTCCTTTTTGCTCACCTTTTCTGCATACACATGCGTATATATGTAAAGTACACGTTTTCTGTGCCAAAAATAAAGCCAAACAGTTTTTTAACTCACTGTGGGTTGTTTCTGAAATATCCCCTGGTTGGTAGGTTTTTCCAGGAGGAAATGGCCGGAGGGGGGGGGGGGCGGTTAGGGCGGCTAATTTGGAAGTCTGGTAAACTAAGGCTTACCAGACTTAGTCTGGTAAGGAAGAAAAACTTGTTCTCATGTCCCCTAGGCCAGTGAAACAGAAAGAAGTGTGGTCTCATCAAAGAGGAGGCAGAGGATGGTTTTGCTGTGGTTTTTATTATTATTATTATCCCATGCACACTACAGAACCCTTTCAACCCATTATCTGACCTGCTGCTCCCCACAGCTCCAGCTCTGTGGGGTAGAGAGAGCAGAGGTTGTCAGTTAACCATGAAGAATCAGCCCACAAGTTAAGGGACTTACCTGAGGCCACTGAGCAGATGTAGCACGCCGTTTCCTAACTCCCAGGCCAGTGCTCTTTCCCTCTCCTGCACTCTGCCTTTGTGAAACATGGCCCCTAGCACCAGCAGCTCCATCATTTCCCACTGGAGCAGAGGACAAGCCTTGTCTCTCCTTTAGCCTTCTAAGCCCCGCACAGTGCTGGCCTGTCTCCACAGGCCACTATCCGGTAGGGTCTGACAGCATCTAGCTGATTAACATGGGACAGAACTCTATGTGCAAGGCCTATTTCTCAGGGAAGTGCAGATGTGACAATTCATGGTGGCACAGAGATAGGACAGGATGGGATGGGGTTGGGGGCGCAGGAGCCAGAACCCCTAACGGGAGCATCTTGCACACACCCAGAGCGCCCACGAGCAGGGCTGTCCTCTCCAGCCCCTGCCCCAGATGGGCGCACCGGGCTGAGGACTCTCTTGGTCATGTGGAAGAGTTTTGCCAAGACCTTACCCAGAGAGCTGCCCTTCCTCCCCCACTAGCTCTGTTCAAGGCTGCAAACTGACCTTGGTTTTCCCAAATGGATTGTTGGATCTGTTTTATATATATAAAGAACTTACTGTGGGAAAAGGGCTTGGTCTGCCTCCAAGTGCAAGTT